CAATAAGCCTTTCTTGAGTTAGCAGTTGGGTATAGGCATATATATATATATATGTATTGATTTGTAAGTGGAAAAAATGAATGTATGAATGAATGAGCAAAGATATCTGGATTTAAGCAGAGAAGGAACATTGCATTTGCACAGAGAACAGAAATACTCTTCTAAAAGCAGCATTTAAAGAGAGGCCCTATCTACTTTGCCGTGAAATATCTTAACTGAAATTAGATTTCTATCCCAATAACAACTGTCTCTTTGGTTCTTTAAAATGTCAAATCAAATTTCCCAGAAGGTGTTTGTGTGTTTCCTTTGTGCCAGAGCACTTTTCCTTCTATGCCCTCTTGATTTTGGTATATTTACTTAATTCTAAGTATCTAACCTTGTAGTCTAATCTCCACATGGCATCTTAGCTGTTAACTGTATTAACCGATTTTTGATAAGTATCTTGCTCGATGAACAATTCCCACTCTTCAGTTTGATAGAAATGAAGCATTTTTCTACTAAAACAAAAAGATCTGATATATAATCTTATTTTTGGTCAAGTCTCAACTTAATCTAAAGCATAACTCAGACCAGTGCTGGTTTTCAATAGAGGTAAAAATTAAAACGCACAGTTTTTTAAAAAAGAAAATGCCATTCTTTAAAAATTCTCACTTTCTTGCTACCATGATGGAAATAAATAAATGTCATTCAAATGCAAAAACAAGTTTAATACTGGTTTAATACATACAACTTTTGAATCTGAAAAAGCCAGGGTCAAGTTCAAGTTCAACAGACTCTGTGTGTGACCTCAATCAAGTTACTTGACTTCAGTTCATCAATGTGTAAGACAGTTTAATTTTTTTCAAAGTGTTGTGAAAATCAAGTGAAAAAACGAAGCCCATTCCTTGCCAGGGAATTAATGACTATGCAAACTATTTTTATTGTTTGCCAAAAACCACAGTTAAATTGTAAATATATTAATGGGAGAATTAACATATTAGTAATCAGAAACACAATAAACCATATCCATTTATTATTTTTCAGTCTCATAGCAAAGACCCTGGTGTGGAATCAGGACTGTTGATTTTTGATGGTCTGCATGAGGGTCAGGAAAGTAGGAAAGACAAATAGGCCCCATGGTCACTTCACGTTAGATCCTGTCAGGAGACTCCCATGAAGTCTCCAGAGACTGAAAGGGTGATAGGTTTCAAAAATTTCACCTGCATAATAATGCAATTTGGTGAAGGCAGACCAACCTGAACATAGTTACTCCTTTATATATCCCAAAAGATTATTATCAAGGTAAAACTTTGTTGAATAGTAGAAAGAGGAAATCTAAGACTATTAATAATCTAAGATTATTATCAAGGGTAGAAAAAGAGAAGAGATATCCTATAGAAACATGATTCTAACAGAAAGGGGACAGACACGCTATAAAAATGTGAGTCTTGCCCCATTACTTAAGGGCTAAATTCAATGTAAATTCAATAATGTTACTGGGTAAGACACACTTTAAATATTTGTCCAAGGGTTAGTATGTACTTAAAAGTATAGTAGCATTTTTTTATCTGTATGGCTTCTTTACTCATATGCTTTTTTTAAAGAAGGTGTATATAAGATGCATTACATAACTGATATTCCACAAGATATTCCACTTCAGACTGATGCTGTGTATTAAATGGAGACAATCTCAATTACTAATTGATTGTATAAAAACTCAGAGGACCCTTGAAGGAGTATAAGAATTGCCTTTTCTTCTTAGGAAAAAACTCAGTATGACTGTGGAATACTTTTTGCTAGGTCTATATCATACATCAAATGACACTAAAACAATGTATATTCTAAAACCGAAGGCTGTGTATAAAGGCAGGTTTTACGTATTCAATTCATTATTTTTTCCAAGGTTGGACCACCACAAATATGCCTTTGATGACAACATTCCTTCAGTGCTCCCTATGCAGCCACACTCCCTAGCTGGGAACTGACTAGCTAATTCAGCTTGCTTCTCATCTATTTTTTGAAACTGTTTACCTCTATTTCTGCAGAGAAAAGCTCTGGAATACATTGGTTTGTGTTATTCATTTAGTCTTGAAGATGATCTATCTGCCTTTATTAGAGTCTCTCGGACTCTTCCTGGACCGCCTGACTCTTCTGTAACATCATCCCTGCCTTTCTTTCTTCCCCACCTCTCTCTCTTAATCTCCTCCTTCCCTTCAGGCATCACTCATTCACTTTTTGATGAAATATCTCATACACAAAAAACTATAGAAAATAATTTGTGCATTATTCATCATACATGTTGTAAACCAAACATTCTTATAAATATCATGGAAGCCCTCCACTAATCCCTCCTCCCTCTCACTTACCCAAAGGTCACTACAGTTCTGAATTTATTTCAGAGCATGAAGAAAAATTCTTGCCCTGTGTTGGCTCTGGCATACTGGACACTGGCATGAGCAGCCTCCAAACCCTGCTGTGGATGGCCTTCTGCTATGAGCCCTTTCACGGCATTGCTGGGCTGCACCTGGCCACTTGTGAGGTCGGAGGGCAGGAAGGTTATAAAAGCCTGGACATTTCCACTTGATGAGGAATGACTTTGAAGGATCATTCCACCTGTGGAGCAATTTGTGTGGACGGCCTCACAGTTTAGCTTCACCTTCATCCCAATTTCTCAGTGTTGGACTCAGGCCCTTTATTTCCATGTTGGATGAAAGTACCAAGGAGAGGCATTATGCTTCATTCCTTTCATGTCACCCTTTGGTTATGATCCTTTAGTTTTTATTGTAATGTTTTAGAGCCATGCAGTCCAATAGCTACATGTTGTTACTGACCACTTGAAATATGCTGTGAGCACATATGAAAAAGAATGCAAAACACCTTTTATGGTTTCTTAAAATTTTGACAATTTGACAATAATATTTTTTATTGAGTTAAATAAAATGTATTATTATATTCATTTCATCTGTTTCTCACCAGGTTTTTTAAAATATGGCTACTAGAAAGTTTAATATTGAAGAAATCTTATTTGTTGAATTTCTTTTTGTGTGTGAATGGGTGCAAAACTTTCATCAGATGCTTTTTCTGCATCTGTGAGATGCTTTTATTTCCTTGCATTAATGAATTAATGTGGTGAGTTACATTGACAGATTTTTCTAAGGGTCAGTCAGCTATTCTTGAGCTCGAGAGATTCAACCCAACCTAATCATATATTTTTAAAAAATGTAACACAGGATTGGTTTGCTAATATTTCATTAGGACTAATGACTCTGCTAATTGATGCCACTGACATGTAACTTTCTTTTTCATTCTGTCTTTGTCAGGTGTCAGTGGATGACACTAGCCCAGTAATATGAGAAGTGAGTCTGATGAATTTGATAGACTTTTTTTTTCTCAAGATTCAATGTCTTAGTCATAGGACCATTAATAGTTTTCAATTTACTTGTATCAGTTTTGTTAATCTCAACTCTTATCTTTATTATTTATTTTCTCCTACACTCTTTGAAAGAATCTCTTACTTTTTGGAGAACTTCTTAATCTAAAAACAGCCCATTTCTTATTTTCTAGTATATGCATCTTTGCTAGAATTTTTCTCTCATTAACACCTTATATGAATACCAATTAAACTTTCAAATTCTTTTGTTTTTAATTGTACTTTCTGATATGTGTTACCAGATCTTCTTTGACACATTTTGCTATGTATTTAAAATTCTAATCATATGAGATATCTTCAATTAACTATTTACTACTTGTAATAATAGCATTATGGTTAAAGAATGTGGTAAATATTCTATTATGTGCCTAAATTATGGAACTTGACAAATGCTCTCTGGCCTTATTGGTTGTTGTCTTAATATTTTAGTAAAATATTTTTTTAACTCCCAGAGTTAGTTATTCTTTTATTTATTATTATCTTAAGTCAGTGTTTACCTATATTGTCTCATATTTTTTATTGGTAATATGGTTTTATTATTTTAATCACATTCATGTTTATACGCATGATTGGAGAATTCTATCATATTAATTTCTAAAAGGACTAATCCTGTTTTTTTTCCCACTGACTTTTACTCAGGCTATATATTTTCACCTCCTGTTTCTATAATTTTGGATGGAGGCTCTTGCTTGCTGGGTCTTTGTCTCTGGGATTCCTCTGTGCCCTGTACTGAGACCCTCTCACTGGACAGGTATCTGTGTTAGCTTATGTCTGCTGTCCTGTATGTTACATATTTTTATACTAATTGCTCTGCTGAAAATTCCTTGGAGTACTCAGGTACTATAAATTCCAACTCCACAGTCAACCCTGGAGTAATACATTTTTGAGAGGGGTATTATATTTCATATCATCTTTTGCACCTGGAGCAGGACAGACAAGTTTTCTGCTTTCTCCCTGTCGAGCTAGCAGATTTTTTTTTTTTTAGGAACTAGGTTCATTATTTCACACCATTATATCTAGCAACCAGTTACAATTCCCTTCCCTCCCTAAAAGCCTTTCCCTCATCCTCACTCTGAGAAGCTTCGAATCTTCAAACATCCTGAAAACAGCCAAATGGAGAGAGACACTTTAACACTGTTTTTACAGCTTCCTTTTCATTTTTGTCCTTTGGAGATAGTCCTTATTTTTGTGCCAGCTCATTTAATCCCTTAAAGGGTTGTTTATTATACTTTATCCAACATCTTTCAGTTATTTTATTACAGTACATAGCCTGCCCTTTGGACAAACCTTACTTTGCTGATTCTCATTCCATCCACTATTCTTACTCATCTGTAAACACCAGAGCCATAGCACTGTTTTTCTAAAGGTTTCCAATACGGCTCCTAGGATAGTTAATCCTTTGTGCCCCACTGGCTAGGCCAGAGTACCCAGCCATTGGTCAAACATCTGGTCGTCGCTGTGAAGATATTTTTACATGAGATTACCATTTACATCAGTGGACTTTGAGCAAATAGATTATTCTCCAAGGTGCAGATGGACTTCATCCAATTAGTAGAAGATCTTAAGAAAAACACTGATGTCCCCTGAAGAGGGCACTGTGCCAGCTGACTGCCTTTGGACTCAGATGGCAACATCGGCTTTTCTCTGGGTCTTCCGTCTGATGGCCTGCCCTGAAGAGTTGAGATTTGCGAACCTGCACAATCAGTCATGTGAGCCAATTACTTAAAATCAATCTCTCTCTCTATTTTTCTATCTCTGTTTCTCCAGAGACTTTCTCTACTTCTGACTAACACAGCTCCACTTGGCATTCAGCTTTCCTCTCTTGCATTCGTAAGACCCTAGAATGAGAGTGGAAGGTCCCTATGCCCTCCACAACTCCTCTGCCTAACATTTCCTATCGCAGGGTCATAAAACTCCAAAGCCCATGAACCAAACCAATGTTCAAGCCAGTTGTCTCAATTCCACCTCCCCAATTCTCACACAATATTCTATACTTTCCAGTCTGCTTCATCTCTCACTTTTGCTGACTTTCTCCACTGTAACTGGCCTAAGCCTTTTTTAATAGATGTTATTTAAAAAAAGGTCTTATAAGGACATTAATTGTTAAGCAGTGGGAGTGGTAAACTCAGTTTTATTTGATATGCCTAATATCAGATAGAATTATCCAAACGCAAAAATGTAGTAAAAAAAAAATCTGATTTGGATAATTGGCAGGTAATCTACAAAAACACTGGTATTTTTTATATAGAAAAAACATTTTCTGTTTCTGTTGGGATATTTCACAACACTGTTTTACAGCCCCTTTTAATTCCCTTTTTTTATGAATGATCTTATTTGTATTTAAAGGCAATTTCATTTATAGTTTTTAAATTAATTGTTAATAAAAATAGATTCCAATACAGGTTTAGGTGTCCTTGTTGTGTCCGATTCTTTTATGATAATTATAATACATAAATGTTATTTTAACTTAGTTTTTTAGGTGCAACTCTATTATAAGCCACCAAATGTTGACTCTATTTGTGTCTCAGTGTGTGATATTTGACAGCTATTTTCACTACAACTATTTCAGTGGCATAGAAATAATTATTAGAGAGATGAAGTTTTTAGTTAATAATTTAACTTGCTTTCTTGCCTGTCCTTAAAAAAACTTAAATTCTCACCAGCGATTCTTATGTACCAAATGGTGTTTATATCAGGTTGTATATATGGTTACTATTAACAAGCTACGGTGGTTAACTTGTATTTCCCAATATATATTCAGGGACTGAATATTTCAAGTTAGATTACTCATGACTTAAGAGTAATTAAAAATCTTTTACATTTCCAGCTGGTCATCCAAGATTGTCTCATCTTCAATGCTGGTTTCTTAAATAAAAGGTAAATGCTAGAACAGTTTGGGTTAACTATCTTTTATAAAATCTGACAATTGTTTAGAGAAACCTACTTCTTTCCTTGGCTCAAGTCAAACTCCGTTTAAATTGTTTAAGTAACTGATGTGCAGAGATAAATGTGGAAAGACCATTAAACAAACTAGCTGTTTCTTTACAATGTAAAGAGATGAAACATCAGGCCTTACTTATTTGCAAAACCTTACTATACCAGCAAATAACTTGTCTTCCAACTGTTTTTTTTAAGTTGCATAAGAAAGAATTCTAATTTCTGTTCCAAGCAATACCCAGTATATAGGGACCACCACCCCCATCTATTTGCACAGAGATTTTAAAAGAAAGAAAGAAAAACTTCCCGACAAAATCGTTCTCTGCATCCTCGAAGCATCTTAACACTAAAAGCCATGGTGGTTCCATCAATGTAAAGTTAAGGTAGGACAGCACTTCTCAATCCATATGGCTTAATCCATTTTTGTGAATCTGCCAAATATATCAACTTTTTACAGTGTAACCAAGAAAAGGGGAGAAAAGTAAGTACCTTTTATTTGAAAATCAATACCAGGACAGTGGGAGCTCTGTTTTCTCTCACTCTTACTTTGTAACTTGATGAGCTCTAAGAATTTGTCATGTTTTCACTGACTAAACACAGCCCAGAATATGCCTCCTTGTTCTTGAAGGGGTTTGGTGAATAGTGAAGTTTTATTTTGAAAAGTAATTTGGAGATGGCATTTCATGTTTATCAAGTCAAACTAATCTATGAGATATTTGTCTGAGGGCCTTACTGTAAGAGACTGCCACACATGAATTTTAATACTACATATATCTCTTTAGGATTATATTAGAGTCATAACATTCTAGAGCAGAAAAGGGGCCACGGTGAATGATTTAATTCAACTCATAAAATTTAAATGAGGAAACTGAGGTCTGGAGAGGCTGAGTTAGGGTTGAGTGGGGCTGTTCAGGGACTGGAGGCCAGTCAGTGGAACAGCTGGGATAACATGTGGCAGCCCTTCTAGAAACCACTCTTGAATGAACAGATGAATGAAATAATGCCCCTGTTCTTGTGCACTGGTTTCTTTTGTTTTCAGGATCCCACAGTGCCTCGTATAGAAATCATTTCCATTTCAGCCTTAATTCTTCAGCAGAGTGTGATTACAACAAACAATGAATCAAAATCTACAACTTGGTTACACTCATAAATTAAGGTTCTAATACATTTTACTTCCACGTGTTACTTTTTAGTATTTTCAATATTTAGTAGCTCCTTGTTAGTGTGTGTTAGAAATACAGGTGTCTTCAGTAGGTACACTGGTTTTGGTAGTCCACATGACCATTCATTTTCAAAGTTCTTCCTTAAAATGTCCTAATTTTGTATCATTCTTTCCAATACAAGATCATATAGAAGGGAAATAAACATTTATATGTATTTTTGAAATTGTTTATCACTTCTATACATACTGCAAATATAACAACTACAGTCCATTAAAAAAAACAAGGAAGAAAAGATGTCTTATTCTGGAAAAGGAAGATCTACATTCAAACACCACATACTGCTATTACTGTTTTAGGAGTTTTCTCAAACATTGATATTTCTCAAACCATCAATATTCCTTATGTTTCACCATTTTTAATTCTTATTTTAAAGGGTCTTGACCAAGATGAGATGCAGAGACGTGTACTACTCCCATTAGCACACATGAATACCATCACGACCACTACTAATATTACTTCTAATGCTACTACCACCATTTACTGAGCTCATACTATAAGCAGGCTCTGGTCTCTTTACATATAATAACATATTTAAGCATCACGGACATGCTATGAAGCAAGTATTATTTCTGTCTCTACTCTCCAGATGAAGAAGAAATCTGAAGTACAGAGAGGCAAGTAATTTTGCAAAACGTTACACATCTGCTAAGCAGAAAAGTCAGGGTTCAAACTCGGGCGGACTGGCTGCTCTCTTGTCACCGTACTGGTGGGAGTTTGGTCAGCAAAGTAGAACCACTGTGAGTGATACAGCATAAGGAACACATGAGGATGATCAGCCCTTCTATCATGTCAGCTGGTTAAATAGTCTGTAAGGCGTTGCTTTTGCAAATAGTATTAGATCTGAAGTCAGCAGGGCCGAGATCAGAAAGGCACCATGGAAGGGGTGGAGAGCACGGGGAAACGGGCATTCACAGAACACCTGCGGCCGTGCTGCCTCTCACCGCCTTCCTCCTGAAGGTGCGGGTGACCAGCCGCACACGCAGGTGTCTCTCCTTCCCCCGGAGCTGCACACACGTGCTTACTCCAGGCTTTGCAGGATTGAAGGAGGACGTCGGGGAAACGGAACCCACAACATATACATGTGTGTATCTATGCACAGACACAGTGGAGAAGTCACACAGGCACTGACTCACGTGAACGTGCAGGTGGCGTGGCCGCTCCGTCCGCCATCCGCAAGCCGGGGACCCGGGAACCCCGCGGGTGGAACCCAGTGCAGGTCCGAAGGCCTGGGAACGCGCGGAGCCGAGGCTGTCGTCCAAGGCCCAAGAAACGGGGAGGGCGGGGGTGGCGGGGTGAGTCCCGGCAGCGTCTGAGGGCCGGAGAGCCAGCAGCGCGGCGCCCGGGGGAGGCAGGTAGAGCCCGGCTCCCCCGGGGCAGCCAGCGCGCCCTCGCCCGCCGCGCGCCCAGCCCCGGGCCTCCGTGGGCAGAGGGGCGTCCGCCCTGCTGACGGCCGTCCTCGTGGCTCAGCCTTTCAGGTCAAAGGCTAACCTCTCCCAGGAACATCCCCACAGTCACACCCAGAGCCATTTACCAGCTCTCCGGCCCCCTTGGTTCGGTCCAGTTGACCCGGAAAATTAAGCATCACAGAGGCGTTGCGGAGGCGCCCGGCGGCCACCACGTGCAGACCAGGCGGGCACAGGCCCGAGAGCACAGTGCCGGTGGCTGACGGCCCCAAGCACGCCTCCCTCCAGGGAACGGCATTCTGGGAAATGTAGTCCCCAGTTACGTGGTTCCACCGAGTACCTCGCCCTGTTCGCTGCGCTACCCTTGCCTTAAGAAGACAGACTTTAAAATATCAGTAATTTTGTATAGTTTCATGTGAATGGAGGCATATGCTTTTATAACTGCAGTGTTTGTCACACAGGTTTCGATCAAGAAAGGCTATATTTTCCATGCAAGAAAATGAGCTGGATAAGAAAACTGTGTGCCAGAATGAAGATAAATTACTGAAAAGGTAGGAAGATTTTGTGGTGTTGATTTCATAATGTTTCTGAGGCTGGTCTACAAAGAGGAAAATTATCTCTCAAGCTTTGTTAATCAGAATTATGACATCAGCTTTCATTTATATAGAATTGGACACTCATCAGTCATTTTCTGAAATGAAATCTAGTTCTATATGGTGGCTTACATTTAAACAAAACAGAAGATGGGTACCCAGCAAAAGCTTCTGACTGGACACAATTAAAAGTAGTGGATAAAGCATAAAAACAAAGTATGTTTCAGTGCAAAAATAGCCTGGTAAGAAACTGAAGAATACTCAGGTGCCAAGAAATATGAGCAAACCACGAAATAGCCAGAAATACAAGCAATAAAGTAACCATGGGTGAGATTTAGCAGAAAGTAACCCTGAAGTCAGTAAGAGAAGGGATAAGAAGTGTGAATCTTGGCCATTTGTTACTCTTCAGGATAAATGTAGAAATAATCCTTTAATACTTTAAAATGTAATAATGTAATAATTATAATTACATACAAATTGGAGTGATTTCAAAACAGATTAGGCACCACTAAATAAATGTTTAGTGAATTGGAAAAGAGAACACAAGAAATTATTTTTAAAAATGCAGCAAGTCAAATAGGTAGAAATTATAAGAGATAAACTATATTAAAGATAAAAATGTAAAAAGAGTTAAAAGTATTTTAGAAGGAATAATAGAGAAAATGGTCATTATCAATATTTAACAGAAATTGATTAAAAGTTTTCTGTAACTAATGAAAGATTCCATCCCAACAAATATATTAGTAATTCTAGAGAACCAACCTTAAGACTTTGTTAATTTCACTCATTGTTTCTTTTATATTTTGTTCTGTTATTCTTTTAATTATGTTCTTTCATCTACATTCCAACAATTCTTTTCTCCTTCGTGGATCACTCCAGGAACATGCCCAGAATTTAATGAGTCATTTAAGATGCAGCCCTTCTCAATCTTCTACCTTTAGAAGATTCCCTTTTCATTCAAAGTGCTAACCAGACCTTCAAAACCCTGCATAGTCCAGCCTTAGCCTGTTGCCATCTCTCTGACCTCATTCCTTTAACTACTATCTTCCTGGCTTCCTTTACTCAGGCCATCCTGCCTAACTCACTGGTTGGTGAATTCTCCACTTAATTGCTGCCTCAGGACCTTTGCTCTTAATGTTCTCTCTGCCTGAAAACCACTTCCCATCCATAAGCACCTGGAACTATTCTCACTTCCTTCATGTCTCCTAGCTTATTCTGTCTCATAGCACTCATCAACAAATAACATTAAATATTTGGATACTTATTATCAAAAGTTCATCTCCCCTCCTGTTTAATTGTCTCTTCGCATGAATAGGACATTTCTCATTGTATCCAGTGTTGTATTCTTAATGCCCAGGCAATTCTTGGCAATTATGATTCACTTGTATACATATTTAATAAATAAATGAACAACAGACAAATAAAGAAAAGTAATAGGTCTCAAAGGTTTTCAAACTGAAATCATTTTACTAACTGATTTCTCAAAATTGTAGACGACAATTTTCTTCAGTTACATTATATAAAGGCTGAACACAAGGGGAACACAGAGACAAATTAATGGCACTAAGTTTTAGTTTTTATAGTGACCTTTACAGAAGGTAATGGTAACAATACAGAATGACACTTTTTCATTACCTTGAAGCTACCACTGCTCTGAACAATTTGTACATTAGGATTTATGCTTTTTAAATATCCCATAAATTATAACTGTGGGTGAAAAAAATAGTCTCACTCTCTGTCTTTCAACTTAAATTTTGAGATAATTCCTGTTCTTTTACTTAATGAGTCACTAGGTCTGGATACACAGTTGAACTTAACATTTGCTTGACTGTAGAATTCAAGAATATTGATTTTGGCCTGTGTAATTTGTTCAATCCCTAGTGATTTCAGAGATTACTTAGTTACCATGATGATATCCACTCTTACAGAAAAGAGATCAATAGGGCATTTCGGCCCATGATCCTCAGAGTTGAACTTCTGCCATTTTCCCCAAAGGGCACACATATCTGGAACTCATTTGCTCTTCATTACAACAAAGCTAAGGTCCTTGGCCTTCAGGGACCTACTCAATATTAATTTGTTTAGTTAAGCTTTTATCTAACTGACGAGGTGGAAAAGAGAAATTGAATTGGTAGCAAATTCTAATACATATTCATATTGCTATACTACTGAACATATTCATAAATTTCTATTATAGGGTTCCCTTTTATTAGTTAAATTTAATGATGAATACTATTTCCTTAGAAACTGCTGAGAATGTATTTCTTTTTTCTAAAATTATGTTTTTCAGATATCTTGTCCAGATTAACTAATGTAAAACTAGGTTATTAAGCATTCTGCAATTTCATGCATCTAAATATAATATGGTGTATGTTTACTCATTTAACTAGTGGGTTTGAGATTGTTCTCAAAATAATGACCATGTTGCCCCCAAAACATAGTGTTATTATATACTTCACTCTATTTAAAAATACAATTAAGAGTCAAAGGATTATTATTTCAGTATAAAGAAAATATGTGGCCAAACAAGATTTTATTCAAATAACTCTTTATTAGATGTACAGGGAAGTCAATTTAATTATAATTTATCTATTAAGTAAATGGAATTGGAAAAAATGGAATAGATTAAATTTGTGGACTTCACAGGCATAAATGTATTTGAGAGGGTTACTGGAATCTGCAATGTCATAACTCTAGAGAGAAAATTCTACTTGACTGATTCCATTTTTTTTTAAGTTTCATAAATATTTTTTCAAGATACCTCAAAATAAATACTTCCAAGTAAATCTTTATGTGCTTTAAATATTAGAATTAATTTGCAGGGTGAAGCTCTCGATTTCTCTAGTCTATCCGTGATGCTTTGTAGATAATGGCTTTCCCTTGTACTATCTGTTCATTATTACTCAGCTGTCCAAAGAGCTATGCTGCTTCCCCATCTAAGTAAAATCCAGGAAGGAGCCTGGAATTCCCAGAGAAATGATTCCATTTATGATGCCAAAATGCATTGCTTTTTGCTGATGACATGGGATTTCATTCAATCTTACTGAATTATCATTTCCCAGTTATGTTTTCCTTTGATTTTATAGTTAGCCTAGAAACATAATAAGGCCATATTTTTTATTTAACATGAAATTCAAAGGGATGATCTTACAATAAAGCTTTATCAAATCCAGTTAAAGTAAAACCTAAAGGCTTTCTGCTCAGCTATAAAACAAAACAAAACAAAACCAGAAAGAAAAAAAAACAAGCCTTGACGTACATGGGATGGCTATGTAATATTATTATTTTTATTATTTTTTGCCAACTCTTGGCAGAAAAGTCATGCCCAGAATATTGAAAATCTTGCATGGGACTCACATGCACCTAATAAATAATGGCAGAGCAGTGGGCAAGCCTAGTGGTAAACACGACTGAATAATACTTACTTGACTGGGAACATTTGTGTGTCCTTTCTCCCAAGCAGAGTAACTCCTGTGACACAGCGGGCACCATCGCAGTCTCACAATCTGCAGGGCAGCTGAAAGTGACTGACCCGTCCTTTGTTGTGCCTGTATAATACTATGCCTCAGTTAATAACTGAGAATTCGGGTTACAAAGAAGGATGAATTCCTCGGATGTCATTTTCTTTATTGTGGCTAAAGATCTGTGCCCCACGCCCCGCTAGGCTTTCCCTGACTGACCCGTGTTTACCTTCTGCCGGTGCCACTTCCCACTGGGTTATTGATGTCCTTCTCTGCCCAGGAAGCCTGCCCTCTCAATGCGCTCTGTTCGCCCCGCACCGCAGGCACACACACAGGCTTTAGTTGTGCTGTAGGTGTAGGTGACGCTGAGTATTTCAGTTAAACTCTTCTTAGAGAAGCAGCAGAGACAGACAGACATCTTCTCACACATTCTGCTTGCTCAGATGAGACCTGCGAGCCCGTTCTGCACCCAGGGGAGGCAAAGAGTCATCCATTCTTGGCTACGATCAGGAGCCCTTTTGTGTAACAGGAGATCTGCGGCTGAAGATGTCCCCCAAAGTGGGCAAACCGACTTCAACTCAACAACAGCAGATGAACACTGAAGTCATTAGTTATTGGTGTTTCCTATCATATATAATGAGAAATACTGCTCTTGGTTTTGTGTAGACTTCATCGAGATTTATCCAACCTGCCTAAAATCACACATCATCCTTTTTGTTTCTCACACACATAAAATGAAATATCATAGTGGAAACTGACTACATGTTTCAGAAAAATTTAGATAGCATTACTGAATGCATGAAAACGTTATGTTCTGAAATACGATTATCCATTTTTGTCATTTTCTCTGTATTATGCCCCCCACAAACAAGACAGATTTAAGGATAACATAAGAAAGAGTATCTTCAAAATGGAGTTTCCCAGTTTCTGAAATTTTAGTCTTTACCGTACCAGGTTAACATTTACTAGATATATGAATGTTATGCACTACAATGCAAAAATAGAGCCAAAAATACTAATGAAATTTGGAGTTACACAGGTATAGTGAAAATAACGCCACTGATTGTATACAAAGCTGAGTATGAGACTAGTTTTCTGACCAAATATTGATGTCTCTATCTCTTTGGTGTTCAATTTCCTTATCTATAAAATAATTCAATTTAACTCTGTCAATTCTAAAGCCCTGTTTCCCTGTAAAGCATCCAACAAAATGCAACCAAGACAATATTTATAATATAATCAGAAAACAAAACCTAAAATTTAAGTTACTATTAAAAATTCGGAGATGGTTCATCATTTCCCTTCTTACAGGTGTTTCAGTTTCTAGAAATGGTATTCCTGACCAACTGTCCATCTTCTTGTTGATAGTCAAGAGGTGATGTATTTTAAGACTGCAGAAGTTTTATGATCTGTACACATTAGTTCTGTACTTCATTAAAAATACTTAAGAAATATTTTAAAAAGTAGAGTGTATTCATTGTGAGGTTTATATTTTTA